CAAAACATTCAAGGCTTTTTGTTACTTTTTTTTTTCTTATCATTTCGTTTGTTTAAAAACAGATGGTATCGATAAAATCAGAGCATCATTTTAAGATTTCCATCAGTGCTTTTTTAAACGACTCGTTCAGATGACTTCGGTGCTCTTCACGCTGGTCTTCGCCAAACCTTAGTGGCTCGACAAGCTCTGGCCTAAAATACTGCTGCTTATTTCAGCCAGTTTGTTTTCAGATTGATTTTAAGGTTACTTTAGTTGCTTTTAACAGCATTCATGGCCTTGTCGCCCCATATCTATAACACCTGCTTCATCTGCACGCTCCTTCTCGCTTGCTAAAATCCGCAGATCAGTTATTAGTGGTTCCAAATACAAAGAGTGCAGAGATGTGATTTCCTTTTTCCTTGCCATCACATTACCTTGACAGATCCGGCACGCTGACTCACTCTTTTAAATTTTTCTCTCTTAAACACATCCTTTACTCTTCTGCTTTTTAACTAAGTTGGTGACTTTGGATTTTTTGTTTGTTTTTCTTTTCTTTTTTTAAGTACTTGTTTAATTTTTATTTTGGTTATATTTTTAGTTTGCTTTGCTTTTACATTTCGTTTTTTCTTGGATTCAGCTCTTTGGCCAGCTGAATTGTATTTTTAAGTTACAAGCTGAGTTAAGTAGCATGTTTTTTTTTATTACATAGATCCTCTAAATTATCCAAGCAGCGATTGTGCAAAAATATTTTTAGGATATGAAAATCCTCCACATTTAGAATACCTAGTACAGTCAAAATAATCAGCTTTCCAAACTGAACATGCTGAAACTCTGCGTAACACACATTTTTTCACCCTTTATTACTTAAAGATAGTGAAATAATGTGAAATCTCTCAGCTATGTCAGACAAGTTGGGCAAAAAAGCTTTACTGAGGACATCGAGGATTACTCCCCAATGACCTTTTATGTTTTGCTTTCCAGCAGCAATGTTCCTCCCTTTTCCTCCTCAGTATCTAAATTTTGAACGCTGCAGGTTGCGAGATAAATTTTTTCTTCTTTTTTTCCTAATTATGGTTATCTAGCTTTATGTTTGTGTGTTTTGTAAGGAACTTTTTTGCAATTTTGGTAAAAACATTTGACTGTTTTCAACTGTTCATCAGAATTCCTTTACTATTCTAGCCTCTGTTAGTTCATGGCTAAAAAGGTGAAGAATATTGTTTTCTTAAAATGAAATGGTCTCCCCTATTTAGGAAAAAAAGAACTTTATTTAGAGCATTACATCAAGCTACAAAAAGAAGTTGAGTAGATGCGCATTTTTTTGAAGCATCACACTGTAAAAGATTTTAATTTATAAGAGAAAATTAGTTATTAATCTTAATAACAGTGTTTTTAATATATAAAAAGGAATGTTGCTTTTGTGTTGTTGTTTTTGAGTCTGTAGTTTTAAGTCTTTCTTGATTAGAAGGGCTAGAGTTTTTATAGGACAGGGTGACAGAATTTTACTGTAAAAATCACCATCTAACTTGTGATTTTGCTGTTGTAAAACAGTAGCAGTGTAATTTACTAAGCAAACCTCCAGAGCTTATATAGAAACATAAGAGACCCATTTTAGAAAAGCAAATACTCATACAGCAGGCCTGCATTCACCTGCTTTACAGATACATTTAGTACATGTAGCTTTAAAATATGCTTTTATTAAGCAAGCAAAAAAATTTAAATAGCCGTTTTTAGTTAGCTTTCTAACCAAAAACGTGCAATGACAGGCAGGAGAGCGGCCGCACTGTCAGTCTTTGCTCCTTATAGACAGACTGGTTATTCCAACCCTTCTCTCCAGCATCCTATTTGTGGTTTTTTAAAACCGTAGCTTTTGGAAACCTGTTACAGTTTTATTACCAATATTGTTCTGTTTTTAGAAATTTATTCTTTATTTCTGACCCAGTTTAGCTTGAATCTTTAGTTTAGTCATAATAAAATGTAAGGTAAGTAAACAGAGTTTAGCTTGTCATTGTAGGAGAATAGTTATCTTATGCTGCTTTTGGTGGCCTTACATTTTGGTGGCCTTACATTTAAATATTAATTAAAAATATCTAGTTTTTTAGCATCTGCTGCCAATGCTTTGTGGTTTCAGGAGATACATGGAGGTATGATTTTCAGTTAGTTGCACAATGTGTTGAATTATTACTCATGTTATACTTACAATCGCACCTTAAGAAAAAAGTGTTTCGAAAAAAAATACTCATGGGTTGAACATAAGAAAGAAATCTTGGCATTCAACACCATCACAGCTTCTAACATCCCCATCCTTAATTGCCCTAACATACTGTATACCAATTCCCAGTTCCTATAGTTGGAAAATCCCACATGATTGATTCTGCAGTCTGCTTTCTCTGATATGTAACAACTTGTCTCTGTCAGCGACTCTGTCACATAAAAGCCACACATCCATGATAATGTGTTTAGAGTTTGAATTACTTTACTAAAGTAATGACATATAGCATTCTTATGCAGATATATCAAATGCGTCCAATAGATTGTTTTATTTGTGCTACAGCTCATTGACCAGGAGATTAACCCTTATGTGGATCAGTGGGAAGCCGAAGGGACGTTTCCAGCCCACAAAATCTTCAAGTTACTGGGAAATGCAGGCTTTCTTGGAGTCAACAAACCAGTTGGTAAGTTGATAATGTTTTGCTCCATTTACCTTACCCCTCCAAAACAGATCTGTATCGAGTTCGGACCAAGCTTGGATCAGCTATCCGTGCTGAGCTTGGTTCCTACGACCACTTACACATCATGCTAGCACGGTTCTTTGCCTCCTATTGGCATTCCATGATACTGCAGCTCTCAAGGTGGGAATTATGCAAGGAAAAATGTATGCGCCCATAACATTCAGGAACTTAATGTGCCTGGCTAGTGTCCTCCAACCATATTTCAATGAGTGCCGTGCTGTCAGCATCATCCTAGGTCACACCAAGCACATTTGATTTATTTATTTTTAATACCCTGAGAAGAAATTGCAGTTGTGAACAGGTGAAGAGATCTGTCAATTGCAAAGCCAGACATGCTGGAATAATACAAATGTGGATGCACAAGCCCCAAAGA